TTGCCTGTGTTCTCTTCTAGGAGTTTTATGGTGTCATGTCTTATATTTAAGTCTTTAAGCCATTTTGAGTTTATTTTTATGCATGGTGTGAATGTTTTGCCGTTCTCTTCTAGGAGTTTTATGGTGTCATGTCTTATATTTAAGTCTTTAAGCCATTTTGAGTTTATTTTTATGCATGGTGTGAGGGAATGTTCTCACTTCATTGATTTACATGCAGCTGTCCAGCTTTCCCAACACTACTTGCCAAAGAGACTGTCTTTTTTCCACTGTATATTCTTGCCTCTTTTGTCGAAGATTAATTGACCGTAGGTGTGGAGGGGCTCATATCTTACAGAGAAGGGACAGGCAGAACAGAAACCCCAATAGTCTGAGCTGTTTTGTTTCTTGAAGCAGATGCCAATTTCTAAGTAGTCTGAGAGAAGCCAAGCAAAAAGTAGCAGCCAAGAGGCTAACTAAATAGATCTTTTAGCAGTTTTATGGTGCTGGGGAGATTACAAGGGGAGGAATGGAATTGGTTTTCAGTTGAGACTGCTGAAGGACTATACCAAACCTTATAAAGATGGAAACAGACCAAGATGATCTTTACAAAGACTGAAAGCCAGGCTTGAAAACACTGATTGGATTAATAAGCCTCTTTAACTGCCTGCCAGAAACTAAAGACTCATTTAAAATCTGTAGGTTTTTATACAGAGTGTAGCATTCAATCACAGATTACCAGGCCTATCAAGAGAAAAAACAGATGCTAGAAACAGACACTAGAAACAGAGAAACCAGATGTTGACATTGTCAGACACAGAATTTAAAATAAGTGTCAATGTGTTCAAGAAGTTTACCAGAAAACTGTAATTTATATTTTTAACATAATCAGATAATAAAGGAATATTACAGACTAGAAGTTTTTCACAAACATAGAAGAAAGAAATTTGGACAAAATGTTACCAAATCAAATTAGCAATATATAAGAAGGAAGATACAGTTGACCCTTGAACAACATGGGGTTTGAACTGCATGGGTCCACTTATATACTGATTTTTTTTTTTTTTTTCCCCCAGTAAATACAGCACTACATGATCATGGTTGGTCGAATCTGTGGATGTGGAACTGTGGATATGGAGGGCTGACTGTAAAGCTACATGAGAACTTTTGAGTGTATAGGGGATTGGCACTCCTAACCCTCACGTTGTTCAAGGGCCAACTGTATATCATAACCAAATCAGGTTTATTCCAGGGTTGTAAGTTTACTTTACATTTCCAAATAAATCATGTCATTCACCACATCAGCAGAATGAAAGAATTTAAAAATATGATTATCTCAATAGTTGCACAGAAGTCTTTTGACAAAATTCAGCATCCATTTGTGATAAGAACTCAGGAAACAAAAAAATAGAGAGGAACTGCCTTAATCTGATAAAGTGTCTCCATAAAAAAGCTACCCCAAATATCATACACAGTGATGACCTATTGAAAGCAGGGAAGGATGGCCATTTTCACCACTTCTGTTCACTGTTATGCTGGAGATCCTAGCCAGTGCAATAAATAAATAAAAGGTATAAAGACTGGATAGGAAAATGAAAACTTTATTATTTGCAGAGAACATGATTACCTAGAAAATCTAAAAGGATATACAGCTAAGTTATTAGAATAAATAAGTAAATTTAACAAGGTCACTGAAGACATTGTACAAAAATCAGTTGTATTTCTGTATGTCAGGGAAAAGGAAAATTTGAAGGATGTCTTTACAACACCATTAAGAAAACATCAAATACAATATCATCTATTGCTGTGTAACGAATCATGCCAAAACTTAGTAGTTTAAAACAACCATTTTATTTGTTGACAAATCTGTGGGTCAGCAATTTAGACTGGACTTAGCTGGGTGCTGTTTCAGCTGGACTTACTTGTGGTTATTGATGTGGCTGCAGTCACCTGCCAGTCAGCTGAGACCAAAGGGTATATAAGATGACCTTACAACCGTGTCAGGCGCTTGTTGTTGGCTGTCAATAGACCCCTTTCCACGTGGTCTCTCGTCTTCAAGGAAGCTAGTCTCAGCCTCTTCACATGGTGGAAACATCAAAAAGGGCGGAGCAGAAGCTCCAAGATCTCTTGAGGCCAAAGCTCAGAGATTGCACGTTACTTCTGCTGCACTTTATTGTTTGAAGCAAGTTATAAGGTCAGTGCAGATTCAGGTGAAGGGGAAATAGACTCTGCTAATGATAGAAGATGCAAAGAATTTGTGGCCATTTTTACTGTACCACAGATACCTAGGAATAAATCCGACGAAGTGTGTACAAGACCTCTGCACAGAAAGCAATTAAATATTACTGAGAGAAATTTTAAAAGGGCTAAACAAGTAAAGGGGTGCACCATGTTAATACATTGGAAGATTCAATATTATAAAGTTGTCATTTCTTCTCAAATTGATCTATAGATTCAATAGAGTCTTGATGAAAATTCTAGCAATTTTTTTGGTGGCAGATTGACAGGCTGATTCTAAAATTTATTTGGAGATGAAAAGTGCAAAGAGTAACCAAGGTAGTTCTGAAGAAAAAGAACAAAGTTGGCGAGCTTACACTAACATACTTCAAAATTATAAAAACTATAGTAATTAAGACAGTGTGGTATTGGCAGAAGGCAGGGCAAAATGAAACACAAAGGAGAATCCAAAAACAGACACATATAAGTACATTCACTTGACTTATGACAAAGTTACACTGTACTACAATAAGGGGAAGGATGGCCTTTCAATAAATATTATTCAGTTGATTAGATACCCATGTGGAAAAAATGCTTCTTGATCTATGCTTTAGAACATATATAATAATCACGTTCAGGTAGATTGTAGATTTAAATGTGAAGAGTAGAACAATAAAAATTCTATAAGTAAACATATGGGAATATCTTTATGACCTTAGTGTAGGTAATTTCTTAACGATGACATAGAAAGTTCTTTCCATAAAGGGAAAGATTGTTAAGTTGGATTTCATTAAAACTAAGAATGTCTGCCATCAAAAAACACCAACGAGTGATAAGACAAGTCACATAATGGGAGAAGATACTTGCAGTATATTCATGAAACAGAAGACTTGTATACAGAATGTATAAGAAAAACTCCTACAAAACTATAAGGAAAAAACAGACAATCCACTATGAAAATGAGCAAAAGACTCAAGTAGGAACTTAACAAAAAAGTATATCCACGAGGCTGATGTGTGTATTATCAGGTGCTTAATCTCATCCTTCAACAAGAAGATGGAAATTAAAACCACACTGAGTTACCATCACACACCCATTGGAATATTTGTTTTTTCAAAAGCTATCTTTGGGACTTCCATAGTGGCGCAGTGGTTAAGAATCCACCTGCCAATGCAGGGGACACAGGTTTGATCCCTGGTCCGGGAAGATCCCACATGCCGTGGAGCAACTAAGCCCGTGCGCCACAACTACTGAGCCTGCGCTCTGGAGCCCGCGAGCCACAACTGCTGAGCCTGTGTGCCACAACTACTGAAGCCCGCGCGCCTAGAGCCCATGCTCCACAACAAGAGAAGCCACCATGATGAGAAGCCCGCGCACCGCAACAAAGAGTAGCCCCCACTCGCTGCAACTAGAGAAAGCCTACGTGCAGCAACAAAGACCCAACACAGCCAAAAATAAATAAATAAATCCATAAATTAATTTCTAAAAAGCTATCTTTACCAAGTGTTGGTGAGGATGTAGCATAACGGGAAATTTCATAGACGGCTGCAGGGAGAGTAAGCCAGTTCAGCTGCCTTGGAAAACTGCTTGGCAGCATAGGCGATAAGGTTGAACGTGTACGTTCTTTATGACCCGGCGGCAGTTCCACTTCCAGGTAGATATTCAAGAAAAATGCATACAAATGTGCCCCAAAAGACACGTCCAAGAATGTTCATAGCAGCATTATACATAATAGCAAAAAAATGGAAACAGCACAACTGTTCCATCAACAGCAGTGGTTAAATAGTTTTATTCATATGTTGGAATACCGTGTAGCACTGACAGCTGTGTTTAAACTGCAGCTGTGTGCAACAACCTACTGTTGATGTCAGAAGCCACATACAATCAAGTCCATACTGATGATTGCATTTAGATAAAATTCAAAGCAGGAAAAACTCAGCTGTGGTGCTGGAAGTCAAGATACTGGTTACCACGGGCTTCCCTGGTGGCACAGTGGTTAAGGATCTGCCTGCCAGTGCAGGGGACACGGGTTTGAGCCCTGGTCCGGGAAGATCCCACATGCCGCGGAGCTACTGAGCCTGCGCTCTAGAGCCCGCGAGCCACAACTACTGAAGTCTGTGCGCCTAGAGCCTGTGCCCCGCAACGAGAGAAGCCACCGCGATGAGAAGCCCGCGCACCACAGCGAAGAGTAGCCCCCGCTCGCCGCAACTAGAGAAAGCCTGCGCGCAGCACCAGAGACCCAGTGCAGCCCAAAAAAAAAAAAAAAAAACCGATATAAATAAATAAATAAATTTATTTTTTAAAAAAAGCATGCTGGTTACCTTAGGGGAAGAGGGGGTCTTGATGGGAGGTCCACAAAGAGGGGGTGGTGGTGTGGTGCTTCCAAGTTGGGGATAATAACCGACTTTCTGGTCTGCGTGGTGGTTACATGGTCGTGTTTACTTTCAGAAAAATCACTGAACCGTACATTTGATTAGTACACCTTTCCGTATGTGTGGTATGCTTCAGTCAAAAAGTAGAACATGACATACAGATCCAAAACAGACCAGAAAGAATTATGCTGTGAAGCTAATAGTGTTTATTTCTATGTGATATATGTTACTTTGAGTGATATATCTATATATTTTTATATATATTCCTAATATTTTACTTTTATAATTACAGGGGAAAATATTTATGAATATCATAACCTTGATTCTCATTGGAAAGTTGACATGACTTGTAGCTTTCATGGAATTCAGAATTACAGTACCCTGGAAGGCCATCATATGGCTAAAGCATATTGTTGCCTTTCTCCCCCTAACTAGGCCCTCAAAAGCACCTTGGGATTTCCATTGATTCGGTTTGAAGATGCCGTGATTAATCTGGATCCATTCACTCGGGTACATCCCTATGAGACCAAGGAATTCATCATCAATGATATCCTCAAACATTTCCAGGAGGTGAGCTTTGGAGCAGTACTTAGTGGCTGGAGCATAAGCAGAATGATTGTCTTAGTTGTTTGGGAATTCTGGTTACTGACATGTCACTATTGACAACCCAGATGAACATTTCAGCTCTGATTGTTGTGTTATGGATCAGATCCCAGCCCATGAAATCCACGCACATCATGAAACTCTTGAAACAGTGCATCTGATTTATGAACGGATAATCTTGTCTCTCAGAACTGGTCTCAGGGGCTTCCACTAGATCAGCCACAATATTAAGGGTTTAATTGAGGCTTTCATGACAGCGCAAAAGACCGTGAATGTGAACCCTGTTTGCCAGGCATGGGCCTACTTTCAGTGACCGCATGCATCAGTGTTCTTGGAGCCTATGAAATCCTGCCCTAGAGCTGAACTTAAAAAGTTTTTATCAAGTTGGATATTTTCCATTTTGTATTTATTATCCAGACTGCAAAGACCAAAATCTAAAGCCAAGACGTACTCTTCGATGACTAGAAGGGTCAAGATCATATCAGATTTATTTGCTGTCAGAGTTAAAGTGTATCCTATGCATGTTCCCTTCTCTCCTTCCTCCCTCCTATCTCCCCCCTTTCTTTCTCTGCTTCCTTCCTTGACCTCCCTCACTGGTGATATTTCCAGTGCACTGTGAGGAGAGTGAGATAGCGGATATCCCTGGACTGTGGAGTCAGGCAGCGGGGGCACACAGGAAGTGGGGGGTTGCTGGGTAGATCTGAACGTGCCCACTCTATGCACCACCCGCTCGGCAGACTCTGAGGGGTCTCCAGGTCTGCTCCCTCCCTCACTTTCCTTTTCAAACTCTCCCCGCTGCTGGCTAATCCCCTATTTGTAGAGCGATGGAAAGGAGAGTGTGCTATATATACTAATAAGTACTTGTAAAGAGTCTTACCTGTTTCATAGCTTTTTTTTCGTCTTCTGAATGGCTTCGAAGAGCATAAGAGTACTGAGAGTATTGGGAGAGGTTTAGGGCAGAGCTCACGAAGGGCAGGAGCTCACAGTTGATGAGAATTAAAGGGTGATTGTTGGTGTTGGTGGGAATGGAGGACAAGAGAGATTTCTAACCTTTTTGCTTGGGATGCTCGATCTGCAAATATAAACAGGTGCTGGTTTTCTTCTTTCCCTGCTCTGTTTGACAGGAACTCCTCAGCCAGGCAGCTCGAATCCTGGGATCAGTGGACTTCCTTGGCAATCCCATGGGGCTTTTGAATGATGTTTCTGAAGGGGTGACTGGACTGATAAAGTATGGAAATGTTGGGGGCCTTATCAGAAATGTTACACACGGAGTATCAAACTCTGCTGCCAAGGTAAGGAAATAGAGGTGAAATTCCATTGTAATTAGCCTCAGGAGTCCTCACATTACTGTAACTTCTTTTAGAGTTAATAGGTTGTGAGAAGTTACATACATGGCCTTGGCTTCATCACCCATGTGCCCTGCCTCTCCCGTACCTCCAATAACCCGGCCCCAGGCCATCAAGTGCTCCTCTGTACTCTGTCCCCTTCCTCCTCTCCATTCCCGCTGCCTTCATCCAGGCTCTGATTGTCTCTTCCCTCGCCCACTGCCATAGCCTCCTGCCCCCTGACTCCACCGCAGCTCTCACAATGCCGCCGGAATGAACTCACTTTATAAAACATAGAACTTGATTGTGCCATTCTCCTGCCTAAAATCCACCCGTTAGTACCCACAGCTCACGGGATAAAGTCCAAACTGTGGTACGGCCTTCTGGAGCGAAGCAACCCTTTCAGTCATCTGAGTCCAGCAGCGGAGAGACAGCAGTGTAATTCTGCTGTGTCTTGCTGTGTAGCTGGCTTTTTTGTTCATTGGCCTCCTGTTTGGTGGACATCTTGTTATTCCATAGTTTAATTTTTGGCAGAAGCTGATTTTACGTGTGAAGCTGGAAAAAGGTGAACGTAGTTGAAGGGGGGTTGCTATTTGATAACATGCAAAAGGCGTCTAAAGACTCTGCTTTCCTTCCCTTCCTGTCAGCTCGACAGAGTTTCCTTCTAGAGATTGACCTTTTCACGAATGAACCAGCATTGGGAGAGCGCCTGTGCTCCCCGCTTGTCTACCACAGAGCGTTGTTGTAGCAAAGTCATAGGTGCACTTGTGCCGTGGCCACTAGGATGGTGGCATCACCGTAGATAGCCTTTCAGGTGCCACGTAGGAATTTATCTTGATGAGCAGGTAAGGAGGTAGAGTTGAACGGCAACATTTCTCTGTTGCATAGCATTCTTGGTAATAATGTGTGAAAGTTGGGAATTTATTCCTGTTTTCCAAACTCTTTTCTAGAGCTGCTGGTTATTAAGTCAGATCAGGTTTTTCAATACAGGCAGATCTCGTTTTCTTATGCTGCGCAGGTAGTGCATGTTTTACAACTTGAAGGTCTGTGGCGACCCCACGTGTCCAGCACGTCTGTCGGCGCCATTTTTCCGGGAGCATCTGCTCACTTCATGTCTCTGTGTCCCATTTGGGTAATTCTTGAAATATTTCAGACTTCTTCATTATGATTATATTTGTTATGATGATCTGTGATCGGTGATCTTTGATGTTATATTGCAAAAAGATTATGATTCGCTGAAGACTCACATGGTGGTTAGCATTTTTTAGTAAGAAGGTATTTTTATTTTTATTTTTATTTTTATTTTTTTTTTTTCTTGCGTTATGCGGGCCTCTCACTGTTGTGGCCTCTCCCATTTGCGGAGCACAGGCTCCGGACGCGCAGGCTCAGCGGCCATGGCTCACGGGCCCAGCCGCTCCGCGGCATGTGGGATCCTCCCGAAACGGGGCACGAACCCGCGTCTCCTGCATCGGCAGGCGGACTCTCAAGCACTGCGCCACCAGGGAAGCCCAGAAGGTATTTTTAAATTAAGACGTGTGCATTATTTTTTTAGACATCATGCTGTTGCGCACTTAACGACAGTGTAGCGTAAACTTAATGTTGTCTTCACTGGGAAACCAGAAAATTTGTGTGACTCACTTTATTGCAGTATTCGCTTGATTGTGGTGATCTGAAATGGAACCCACAGTCTCTCCAAGGTATGCCTTTGCTGGACTTACATTAAACCAGAACAAAAGGTACTGTTTGGCTTGTGGTTCAAAACAGGCAACACTCTTTAACTTTTAGAGAAAGGGTGAAAGGTAGAGAGGCAAGAGACTTTCTAAATCATGGTTTGGAAATGGACTCTGGGTCATAGTCTGAACGAGTGTGCACATTTCTGCCTTGAATCATTGCCTATGCTGCCCTTGGACCTTCACCCCTGACAGCAACATAAAAGTGGCACAGGTTCCTCAATGTTCTTTTGCTACTAAACTCGATATAAACAGATGCAGTTAAAATATTTACTTGTACACACGTGTAATTTATATAATATTGTACATCAGCTATACTTCAATTAAAAAATTCTAGTTGTAAATGCTCAAAGATTTTACTTAATTTTTTAAAACTCTTATTAGGGGCTTCCCTGGTGGCGCAGTGGTGGAGAGTCCGCCTGCCGATGCAGGGGACGCTGGTTCGTGCCCCGGTCTGGGAGGATCCCATGTGCCGCGGAGTGGCTGGGCCCGTGAGCCATGGCTGCTGGCCCTGCGCATCCGGAGCCTGTGCTCCACTGCGGGAGGGGCCGCAGCGGTAAGAGGCCCGCGTCACCGCAAAAAAAAAAAAAAAAAAAAACTCTAATTAACATAGGACAGTCTCTTTGGTTTTATAATTCCTTTCTCTATTTTTGTACCCCTGGGCTTTGTTTTCATTAAAAAAAAAAAAAAAAAAAAACTCTAATTAACATAGGACAGTCTCTTTGGTTTTATAATTCCTTTCTCTATTTTTGTACCCCTGGGCTTTGTTTTCATTAAAAAAAAAAAAAAAAAAAAACTCTAATTAACATAGGACAGTCTCTTTGGTTTTATAATTCCTTTCTCTATTTTTGTACCCCTGGGCTTTGTTTTCATTAAAAAAAAAAAAAAAAAAAAACTCTAATTAACATAGGACAGTCTCTTTGGTTTTATAATTCCTTTCTCTATTTTTGTACCCCTGGGCTTTGTTTTCATTAAAAAAAAAAAAAAAAAAAAACTCTAATTAACATAGGACAGTCTCTTTGGTTTTATAATTCCTTTCTCTATTTTTGTACCCCTGGGCTTTGTTTTCATTAAAAAAAAAAAAAAAAAAAAACTCTAATTAACATAGGACAGTCTCTTTGGTTTTATAATTCCTTTCTCTATTTTTGTACCCCTGGGCTTTGTTTTCATTAAAAAAAAAAAAAAAAAAAAACTCTAATTAACATAGGACAGTCTCTTTGGTTTTATAATTCCTTTCTCTATTTTTGTACCCCTGGGCTTTGTTTTCATTAAAAAAAAAAAAAAAAAAAAGAGAGAGAGAGACACTTATGGTTTATTGAAAGGCCTTCCTCAGCCTGGAATATGCCCTGACTTTATAGCTTACTATGAGAATAAAATGATATGACCTTGTGAAAACTTTGTAAAACATGAACTGAACAAGAGAAATGGGTTTTCACTTTGACTCTTAGGTTTACATCAATGTAAAATGTACAGACTTTAGCCACCAGGAAGCCGTTAATGCCCTTGAAATGAAAGCCAGTATATTATAGTCTACAGAAGAGGAGGGTCTCAGGCTCGGAGAGTGGGAGATTCATGCTCCATGTGGGCCAGTTTGGCTGTTAGGGCCCTCTGGCTACCCTTGTGGATGAGAATGAAGACATCGGGAACTTAACTTGCCTGTGAGCTCTACACAGGTGAGACCTTGTGTGCGTTTCTCCAGAGTTTCTCAGCAACATCCCGGTGAAAAGGGTTGGCACTTTCTTTATTCTCTCATTCGGGGACATCTCATTCATCATCTTCTGTTTCCCCTGGAAAACTGTTTTTGAACCTTGAGGGTCAGTATGAGAATATACCGTAAGCAGAAAGAAAGGGCAGCATACTCCTTACCTCCACCCTCACTCGCAAATCCATATGAAGGCCTGAGTGGCAGTGATCTTGTGTCTTGCTGGATATCATGCTTTACCTTGTTGTTGGATTTGCATAAGGGTTCTGTTTTCCAGGACCCAAGGCTTCTTGAGTGGGGACCCTACTCCCCATGTGGTCGGCGCCCTTCTTCATGCTTTCTCTTGCCTTTAATGAGCTAATCAGTATTGGTGTCACAGACTGCTGCTACTCAGAGGAATTGCTATGTAATTTATTTTGCTACCGGGAACCCTGGGTGTGTTATAACAATTAGTCCATGTATCTGTCACGAGAAAACAAAGAGACTTAAAATTACCACTTCATTTTGGAAATGGTAGCTTCCAAAGCCAGGTCTATCAGCTAAATGCCCATTCAGGTCGTCTGTGATTCTGCATGTATGCAGTTTGGCCAAAGATCTCCATCTTCTTGTAGTTTTGTGGGTTGAAATCAGACCTTTAACGTTGCTTTGGGGGAATGTTTTGTTTGCTTTTCTGTGTACACAAGGAGAGTTTAAGGAAGTGCAAATGACCACAGTAATCAACTGTTGGCCTGTGGGAAGTATCCCTTTAAAGAGTGCCTGAGTTCCAGTGGTTAAAGAACGGGGTCAGACAAGACAGAGCTGCACCTCGCCGAGCCCCAGCCAGCCAGCCCCACTTGGCTGCAAAGACCAAAGGGCTGTAACCTTGTTTTGTTTTGTTTTTTAAATAAATTTATTTATCTAGCTGTCTAGCTATCTATTTATTTATTTATTTAATTTTATTTATTTTTGGCTGCACTGGGTCTTCATTGCTGCCTGCAGGCTTTCTCTTGTTGTGGCGAACGGGGGCTGCTCTTCGTTGTGGTGCGCGGGCCTCTCATTGCGATGGCTTCTCTTGTTGCGGAGCATGGGCTCTAGGTGCGCGGGCTTCAGTAGTTGTGGCACGTGGGCTCAGTAGTTGTGGCTCCTGGGCTGTAGAGCACAGGCTCAGTAGTTTTGGTGCACGGGCCTAGTTGCTCTGCGGCATGTCGGATCTTCCCGGACCAGGGATCAAACCTATGTCCCCTGCATTGGCAGGCGGATTCCCAACCACTGCGCCACCAGGGAAGTCCTGTATCCTTGGTTTAATAGGCTTTGAATGTAGTGGAGAAGCCCCATAGACCTCTTGAAATTAATTATCAATATTGTATATATGTGTATTTGCCTGAAGCAAGGATCTGAAGTTTTTATTGGATTGTCAGAGAGGTTCATGCCTCCCAAGAGATAATAAATCATTATTGTAGACATAGGGTTGAGCATTGAGGGCACGTGGTAGTCAGAATACCTGGGTTCTAAACCCATTCCTACACTTAAATAATCTTTTTCTCTGTTGATCTTGA